ATGGGATAGCTTTGTGGGAGCTATTTTACATGTATAATATATAAATAAATTATGTTACTATGTTTTGAAGTTCAGTTAATTAACCAAAATTTCAATCTATGTTACAATTAGAGTAATATAATGTAAGATAAATGTCGTTATTTACTTGTTTATTATTTTGCGAAGATATCATTATAATAGTGATTTATAGAGTCGTTACAATAACTATATTATTTAAATAAAATATAATAAAAAATATATTTTCAATAATTCTTGCACTTTTTTAGCTTGCTTGTTCAAGTATTATTTTATAGTTTGAACGATTCACTAATGAACAATTATTATTTATTCATCTCTTTAATAAAAAAATATTTAATGATAATTTATTATATAATTTTAATTTATCCATTATAATAAATAGGTAATAACAATTTTGTAAATAAATAAGATTTTTATAACGATTCAAATTTAGACTTATATAATAAATTACTTTCTATGTTGAATTTTAATAAGTTAAACAAAAAGAAACTATATATCTTTTGATACTACATTCTTAATTTTAAGAGAATATAAGATTATATATAAGAATAAAAGTTTAAAACTTATAAAATTAAATTGTTTAGTATTTATTTATAATGTCTTCAAAGCTTTACTAAACAAATTTTTATTATTAAAAATATTTAAACTTACAATAGTCTTTTAATTTTTCATATCTATTGTTTGGAAAACATTTATAGAAAGGTTAAATATATTATTTTTTTTAATTTTTAAATATTTTATTTTAATAAAACAATTTAAATTTATTATTATTTTTTCTTAAATATTTCCATTATTACGAATAACAAATTTATTTTAATATAAACAAGATTTAATAGTTTAAAGTATTAATATTCAACCCGAGACTTAAATCGATTATATATATAAACTTAAGTTTAAGAAATAAGAAGATATAAAAAATTTCAAAATCCTACTTTATTTTGTAAAAAATTTAAATTTATCTAATTTTAACTAATTAAATTACTTTAATAAAAATGTGTAAAAATTTAAATTATTCGTAAAATTTACATCTAAATAATTTCTTTTATCATAAAGTATTTCATGTTGTCTTGGAAAAATAAATTACTATCTAAAATTTCTTCATCCAAACATAACTATATTTATGTATTTTAGCTCGAGTAGTTATTATAAAAAATATTAATTAAATATATTTTTATAAATTAATAATAGCTAGTAAATTTATAAAAATATAAATATATAAATATAAATATGAATAATGTACTTATATAAAAATTCGAATTTAAATTGATTATTGAAACAAAATCTAATAAAAATAATGGACTTTACAAATTTCCAATCTACCCAATATTTTCATTTAGATTTTAATTTTCAGATTGATTATTAGTTGACCGGATGAGGTTATAAACAATCTTAAGCATCAGTTAATACAAACTTATAAAGCAAAAATATTAAAAAAAAATTAATGTAAGTATATTATATTAGTCATTAAGAAGTATATTACTATATCTCTTATATAATGTAAGTTTAATATATTTTTAATGAACTTCATATTTTAACTCACCCATCACATTGGAAAGATTTGAGCAACATACACAGCTAAGAACATGTAAAACAAATAGACACCAACTTGTGATGAATTTAAAACATGCAAATCTCCACGATTATGCAGGGAAGCTACTTCCTTCGAAGTTTCTCTTTCTCTTATCTTTGTTCACAATGGAGACCCGCCACCAGAATTTGTTGCATGTGTTACGTGGTCGGTCAAATTTTGAATATGTGCAATTACATCCACAAGTGTTGCCTCTTTGAGAAGCCATATCGTCCGTTCTACATCACTCAAATATCTATAAAAATGGGAGACATCGTGCGTCAACACAGTTTAGGTATTGTCAAAGTTGTGCTGCGAGTAGGACCTCACGGGTCGCGTAGGTTAAAATCAGCACAAACTCATTCGCAACAAACCAAGAAAATGTTCACCTTACTTGCATTATCTCATCCAAATTTGTAAGGACAGAATGGCCCACCTTATCGCAACATATCTTAGGAGAATATTATTCTCATTATAATGAGAACCATTTATTAATCCAAGAGTTAGGAAAATCGCAATCCAATCCAACACATTATGAGTTGTGGACCAAATCATAATGTGTTTTCATTCTCCCTTCAAAACTATTACATATCTTTAAACTAAACTCAACTAAACCCAACATTCTTTAAAAAGATAAACACTAATGACTACCGCCTTGGACCATTAGTAAACACATTAATCAAGAAATCAAAATGATTTTTTTAATTAAAATAATGAATTTTTTAGAACAGTTCAAATAATGATATTAATACACTCCTGCCATGTTTTTTTTATTGTAGTTTAATGTGATTTTTTTCAATAAAAATAAACTTTTATTATTCGATGAATGATTTTGCTTTTGAATATTATATGTTATGAATAATGATATATATATAAGAAAACTAGAATAAAACTAGACAAAAGAAAGCATAATTGCACTTAAAATTCAACACACAACTTCCACAACTTACTAACACATGAAAAAAGAAAAAAAATGCTCTCTATTAACCTTCCATCCAAATCATAAAATTAACTAATATTATTTGGATTATCATATCTTGAAATAAATAGAGTAATAGGATTTACTTCAAAAAGTTTACCACCTCAAAATGCACACATTTTTATTATTATCATATGATTTTTAAAATAATTATTGTAAAAATTAATAATTTAGTGAATTATAAAGTTTTATGAGACTCGTAAAATTATTATTTTAATGTAGATAATATAACCATTGTTTTTAAATATATTAATAATTAATTATATTTAATTAACATAAATTTATGGGTGTAGATATTAAATACTTAAACTTTTCATGCATTCATTAATTATATATATATAAATAGTTGGAAGCTAATGTAAATCTAGAATATAATAAAATATTAATCTAAAAAAAATCAATAAAAAAATTTGATTACAACCAAATTTTGTTAGATTGAAAATTTTAAAATATCAATTTGGTAAAGTTTTTGTTTGTAATCAGAGACCAATCCAAAAATATAAATAAAATCAAAATTATAATATATATTATTTAAACATGACACTTCTTATAAATAAATCAATTAGTTTCTTTTATATATATATATATATATATATATATATATTTTTAAATTAACAAGTAAATAAATTAATTTTTATAATGTACGATATATATTATTATTTTTAAATTGAATGAAGAATCATATAAAAACAAATTAAAAATATAAATATTATAATTAATTATATATGAAATTTTACAATATTTTTTATTAAATAATTATTTTATTATAATATATTTAATAAATTTATAATAAAAAAATAAAAATCACTTAAAATAAACTGATTCGATTTGACTTAAAGTTTTAAAAAAAATAAAAACCGTACCAAATAGAACCATATTTAAAATTTTTAGTACAAAAACCTAAAATCTCCTACTATTATTTATTATATGTAATTTAAAAATACTTCTATTCATCACAAAACCAATAATATATTATTAATTTAAAATAATAAAAAATGTATTGGCAATGGAAATAATTTTTTTTACCATTATTTAACTATAGATTGTTATGTATATAATTTTTTAAATAATTATTTCAAAATTATATTAACAATAATTTATATATAATATATATATATATATATATATATTAATTATCACTATTAAACTCAGTATACAGATAGTTATAATTTTATTTGTGTTAAAGCGTGTGCTTGTTTATGTCTCATTAGAATGAATGTAAGAAAAGCTGCATAATATACACTTAGAAGAAAATAAAGTAATGGATAAAATATTTTTTAAAAATATTTAAAATGTAATTTTTCTTTATCAAAATATAAAAACTAATAACGGATCAACTTTCATAAAGAAATAAAGAAATAAAATGAATTGTGAGGCTAAAGTCATATTTTATCTTGAAATAATTCAAAAGTTATCTGAGAACCAATTTCATAAAATATTTAGCATGTATGAGAAATTAAGTTATTTCATCAGAATTTTCTTTTTGATGATAATGCTACTTTATATAAAAGCAACATCGGACAACATAAATGAATAATATATTATTATTATCTTGAAGAAGAAAAATATATCCATGAAATATTCCGATCAGAAAGGATTCCACAAAGAGACAAGATAAAACATAGAATAACAGCAGATAAAACGGACCACCAATTGCCACGTATTAAACAGCACACAAAAACTTATTTTAATTTCATTTTGTATTTTTTAATAAATGCTAGCTGGTCTAACATTGGAAAAAAGGAATCCACAATTTTAGTATTCATCCTTTATATTCTTTTTTATTTTTTAACATTTTGTATGATATAATTGGAAAATTCTACACATATCCAACTTACCATTTTATAACATATACTTTAAAATAACATCTAATGTTTCTATTTTAATTAATTCATATTGTAGTGCAGTATGCATATTGATATTGATAATGAATGAATTAATTTAAAAACAATTACCTTAATACAACACCAAAGATTGTTTAGAATTAGTTGAGATAATGTTTATTAAACACATAAAAAGAAAAAAATGAAAGAAAAGGACCAATTGGATATTAAGAATGGAGGAGCCAGCTAGCTTGACTTTAACTAATATATCTCGTTCACTCCTTTTTCCAAAAAGAAAAGCTAATCTAATCTATCTCCGTAATCTAATTAGCAAAAAATAATAGTAAAAGATATAAAGGTTGTATAGATACATGTACTAAAAAGAATATTTCTCATAATGTGATCATCACAATCAATGATCTTAGCTACAATTTTCAATTATATTTGTAGCAAGTACATCCCATGTTACTCACCTTAAATGCTTTTTTTAAACAATTTTGTCCCCTCACAACACCCCCTTCCTCTTTCCTTTCTCTCTCTTTTATTAATTACTTCCTCACACATTCTCTTCACCATCATAGCAATTTACTTTTCCCTTCCGACCAACCGGAAAATGCCTCTCTCCTCCGTCGCTTCCCATTCCGACGCCTCCGATTCTGTTGCCTCCGGCGAGATCATGCTCTTTGGAGTCAGGGTAGTGGTGGACTCCATGAGGAAGAGCGTTAGCATGAATAACCTTTCCCAGTACGAGCATCCCCGCGATACCGCCGCCATCAAAGATGATGCCGGATACGCCTCCGCCGACGACGCTGCTCCGATCAACTCCGGCAAAAACCGCGACCGCAAGCGAGGTCCGACCAACACCTTCTGCAATTTTCTGCCACATTCTATAATTTATATAAATAAATGTTTTATTACGTATAATTGATTGTTCACTCCGCAAAAGATTATATATATTTTTTAGACTATAGTTAAACACATTCCTGAGACCTAAGGAGATATCACTGATATAAAATATTAATTTGATCGGTGACAGAATCGTATTATATGAGCTATGGTAGTTAATCTATGTATTTCATTTTTAATGTTAGGTTTGTTGTATTGTTGATAAGAAATATTAATTTTGATGGTAGAGAGGATCTTGAGCATGTTGTGTTAGTTAATCTAAGTTTTGTATTTATTTGATTTGATTTTGAATGTGAGGTTGGTGGATTTGTTATAGGATGTGTATGAATGTGAATGTTATTGTTGATTTGTTGCATTATTTGTTGATGTTTGGGGTATGATCAGGGATTCCATGGACGGAGGAGGAACACAAGCTGTTCTTGGTGGGGTTGCAGAAAGTGGGGAAAGGTGACTGGAGAGGAATCTCAAGGAACTATGTCAAGACACGGACACCAACTCAGGTTGCTAGCCATGCGCAAAAATATTTTCTCCGCCGCGCCAACCTCAATCGCCGTCGACGTAGATCCAGCCTCTTTGACATCACCACCGAATCGGTAACTTGTGTTATGATAAAGTTTGATGTTACTTTTGTGGCATGGAATTGGGTGCTCTGAGTCAACGCGTTATTAATCGGTGTTGGTGGTGGGGTTGAAATTTTAGCCATGCTTCTTTTTGCCGTGTTAGGGAAACAAAGTATAGAAACCAAAGGAAAAGGGGAAGAAAAAAAAAAAAAAGTTACTGCACTGTTCAGTTTAAGTTGGGTTTTTTTGTTTGGTTGTTTTTGTTTTCATTAATAATTTTCTATTTCTTAAAATTTGTTTATCTCCTGAGCGTACCTGAAATGTTTGTTCCTTAAACAGTTGTGTTTTCTGTTTTAATTTTAGCAGCAACTGGAAGATTGTAATCTTATTTACGCACTATTTTGGTTCGAAACTTGGAAATCCTGTGGAAAGAGGATAGTTTTTCTTGCAAGTGTTTGTAAAAACGGGAAACGGAATAGAAAATATTTTATGAAACCAACAGAAACTTGTGCCATTTGGTTATGTATCTTGTCTTGATTTATTAAATAAAACAGTCCTTTGGTTGTTGAAGAGAAATTTCAACAGAACAGAATCACATGATTTCAGGCTTTATAGGTCAAGAAGTTAACTATTTTGAACTTGGAGAATTGGAGAAAGAAACATTTGTGTTATTTTAGTAACACTCGTTTTAGTTTCCATGGTTTGGTACCCGGTGGAAGACTTATTATTATCCAGTACTTATTGGCCGCCACCTATACTTATTGGATTTTTCAACATTTACTGTGACATCAATAATTAATTACTCTTTAAGGTATCACAGTAACTTGGAGTAATTTGTATTGATCTTCTTCAATTTGTGTGTCAGGTCTCTACAACCCCGATGGAGGAAGGACAGATCCAGCATGAAGATAATGTGTCTCTCGTGCATCCCATGTACCCTGTGACCCGTGAAGGAAGCAACATGAACGGATTTGCAATGATGCCTATGTATCCAAAGGATATTGGTTCTGGAGTCATGTCAGTTCAAGCTGGGAATCCAATGGAAACACTTACTTTGGGACAAGGAAATGTGGAACAGAATGCGCATAGTACTAAGCTAGTTTGTACAACTCCTATTGTTCCAGATCATAAAGGCTCCACAGTGTCTGATATCACTGCCAGTTTAAGTTCAGATGATCCTCCAACACTGTCTCTCGGATTATCTTTGTCATCTAGTCAAAGAAAAACACCATCAATACATTCAGCTTTTCATGCACTATCTTGCTTCAACAATGGAGATAGCGTCATAACCGTTGCTTAGAAAGATAACATACATCTGTGGCCCAATCTAGCGCAGGTTTGGATTCACAGAGATGTTTATTTCAAATCTCCTTTTTCTTTTGGTGGGAGAAAGATAAAAGACGTCAAAGGAAAGGACGATGAATTAGAGAAGGCAAGGTAATAAGTGACCAAATTGATCCTTCTGTTCCTTGTACAGACCGTGGAAAGGTCCTATCATGTTTTTGTTTATTGTTTATTGGCCCTTTTTATGTTTGTAGTTACTATCTGAAAATGACGAAGTACTTCTTGTTAATTTTTAATGAATATAAATCTGGACTATACCGAAGAATGATTTCTAGCCCTTTTGGGGAGGAATAATATAAATGAGTTTGATGGTTGCCACGTACAGCAGTTTCACACAGTTATTTATTTTTATTTTTTTGTTTTTCTTGGTGAATACATAACCAATTTACTCCTGCAATTAATGTTATATGACTGTTGCAGTAGTATCAGATCTGCCTGGTCTACAAGTTTTGAAATTGGCAATTGCATTATCCCTGTTTGTCCACGACAACATTTTCCATCGTTCTTCATTGGTCAGGAAACATGAAATCCTTGTTGCCCCACACGTCTTGTATTGTAGGTCCTACAGTTACTATGCTTATTTCTAGTGATAGTGGGATCTGATGATCTATTTTTGTGTCTATTCTCACAGTTGCAAGCACCTTGAGGGGCCAGGGTTGTCAAATCAGTTATTGGACAAAAGTAGTGTCCTACATGTTAAGCATCAAATAATAATCAAAATTTTTAGTTAGGTTATGTGATGATGCGTTGAGATTTTTTATTTTTATTTTAAAGAAGTGGTAACAATGCGTGAACACAAGTATTGTGGCTAGACTAGATTAGATGTTAGATCCAATGTGAAATTTTTGTTTCTGTTAAGGTAACGCTAACTTTAAAGGAAGACACCGTAGACGTGTTGACAAAAATGTTGTTCTGTTCATACCAGACTTCCCAGTGGATGAAGTTAATCGAACTAGGTTAATGTTTAAACTGCATAAACACTTGTCCTATCCCTTAAATATGTTTTATTACATGGTTAATTTATTTTTTAAGACTCCACTTCTCTAAATTCTTCGGTTGGATCATGAAGTGGAGCCTCTGTTTTTCAGGGATATTCAAACTACGTTTAAGCGAGAGTACTGATTACCATCCTACTCGGAATTACATGATGTGGTTAACTGTGTATATAAATTAGGGTTATTTCCATCTTCGTTAAAATTGGACAATGTTGTCAAATCAAACAGCTCAGTCTACGGTTAAAGATTTATGATGTGTTTGGAGGGAATCGAAAAAGAAAGAAAGAGAAATAAAATAAAAAACGAGGTTGGTCTGATTAAGTTTTTCTTTATATTTTGGGGAGTAATTTTCAAAAGAAAAAAAGGGACTTAAGAGTGATAAAATTGATTTTGATACAAATATTTGTAGAGAAATTAAAGAGATGGAATGATGAGTCCTTTAACGAGATTTGACTAAAAAGTCAATTTGATGAGATGATGTATTATCCAAAATATCCTTCTTACATACTTTATAGAATTATCAGTACAAAAAATAATAGAAAGTGATAAATTATAACCTGATAAAGGTTAGAAAGGAAATGAGGGTGGGATTGATTTAATGAAGATTTTGGGTTTTTTATTTTTATTGAAACTACATCATTTATTTATATGATTTTAAATAAATATTAAATTTTGAAATTAAACTATTCATGCTAGAATATTTTATTTTAAATAAAAAATAATTTTTAAATATTAAGTGAATAATATATATACTACTTATAAAAAATTAAGTTATATATATTTAAAAAATAATAATGTAAGAATAATTAACTTATTTCTTATATTAATATTTATATTAATAAAAACTTTATTATCACAAATAATTTCATTAAATTATTTATAATTTTATATAAAATGTAGAATATATATATATATATATATATATATATATATATCAAATATAGATAATCCTGTTATAATAAAATATTTAAAAATATCATACATTTCTCATTCATCTACTTAAAATCTTGAATAGGTAATACTTTCACTTATATAGGAAAGTGTGAAAACTCGTGCTTAAAGAAGTAAAAAAGAAGAAGAAAAAAGAGTACTTCATCAGAAGTGATTGTTAATACTTGATTTAATGAAACTTGGGAATTTCCAAAATCATGACAGTCTCAATTCTTGAGATGAAACGCTATAAAATTTGTGTAGTTCTCTTGAATTTTCTTCTTTCCCGTTGTTGTTTAACATATCTTTCAAAATAAAAATTAGGATCTTATTACATGAAAGATTAAAATAAGTTAGGTTATATATATAAAAAAAAATTTGACTTAAAATGAATATGTTATTTTGATCTGACTAGTTCATGACTGATATGAATTTATGTTAGCTTTTAGGTTTTTTTTTTTATAAAATAATAATTATTTTTTAAAATAAAAATAAAAATAATATTATTTTATTAATATATATTATAAATTAATTTAACAAAAGATTTATTAATTCTAAGAGTAAATATTATAAATCTTTAACAATCATTTATTTAAATATCTAATAGTTAAGATTAATTTTTATTTTAGATTAATAAATTACTAAAAAAATAAATGATAATAATAAAAAATAAATTTTTAATTCTTATTTTAAGATTCAATCATTCCATCTCTTAAAATTTATATACGAAATCATTATATCATACATAAAAACTAATTTCATTAATATAACTTAAATTTTAAAAACATATTTTTATTTAAATATTTTTTAATTAATTGTTTTGGTATAGACTTATCAAAAATATATATATATATATATATATATATATATATATTTTTTTTTAATTTTCAATCAGGTCAAAATTAATCCAGTAATTTATTGACCTAACATAGAATTATACTTGACTAAAAACTATGACCCATTTTAAAATACCGATTAGGATGAAACATCAAATTTTTTTCTTATTCAAAAAGACTAAATCAAACTGAATTGGATCGCTTCTTTTAATAATTCTAATTGCAATAAAGTATTTAAGATTTTTATTTTAAATATGTTTCAATCAACCCTTTCTTATGGTTTTTTATATAATAATTAGGTAATAGAGTTCAGTCTCTAAAGGACTAAACAATATAACAAGTGATATAAGGAAAAATATAGAAAAGAAAAGAATCTACATAATGGAAGAAGTCCACTTACAATGCCTCTTTGCTTTCCATGGAGATGTATTTCAAATTTACATTATACGTTTTGTGGGAGATCATCACAAAAAAACATATTCTAGTGGTCAAACTAGAATAAGAGTAAAATAAACAAGAATAAAAATATCTTCAATTAAATGCCAAGACAAGGTACATTAATAATGGTGCTTTTCAAAAATCTAAATATAAAGTGTTGGAAGTACAAGACTTCGAAAGAACTATGGGATGTAATTCACATTACCAATGAAGGAACAAATGATGTTCAACTACAAAAAATTTGTAACTCCTTAAAGACAATACAAAATGTTCAAAATGAAGGATGATGAAACCGTAGATGAAACATTTGGAAGATTCCAAGCTATAAAAAATGGTGGAAACTTTAAAGTATAATACTCCACAGCCAAACATAACATGGAACCTTAAACAATCTACCAAGGGTCTAAGAGCCTAAAGCAAGTAACATGAGGATCGTGACCTTAAATGAACTTAAAAGCTCTTGAAGTGTATGTTTTGACAAGAGATAAGAACAGTTTTTACTCTCTAGCATTAAAAATGAAGAAAACTAAGCAAGATGTGAGTTCATAACCCATCAATAACTTTAAAATTCTTACAAAGCTTTAAAAGTGCAAGAATTTGAAACTAATAATACATATGAAGAATTAGACAACTCATAATGATATTTATTAAATTTTGATAAAAATAAAAGTTGAGATAAATGTTTATTATACATTTATATGTATAAATATATGAACTTTACAAGTTTTCATTACTTCTATGTCAGAAACAATTATTAAAATTGACAAATATTTTTCTTTTAAAAGTGGTTGATTTATCCTTATCTCTTTTTAATTATTATTTTTTATCTTTTTTAAATTACTAAAATAGGTGGATTAGGTGAGTTAACTTACTAATATAAATGAATTAGGTGGGTTGCCTCGTTAAAATATTTTTTCTTCATGGATTTACACTAGCATATAGATAGAAAAAAAATTAGAATATTAAAGATTGAGAAAAATAGGTCAACCTACCACCAACCTCACTCAAACTCGTTTAACCCACAAGTTAAGTAAGTTGGGTTCGTTTCATCCTACTATTAAACACCCATATTAATTTAACACTTCTATTATTTATATTTTTTTCTATTTCTCTTTCTCTTCTTCTCTTTACCTTTCTCTCTCTCTCTCTCTCTCTCTCTCTCTCTCTAATTCTCTTCTTCTTCTCATTCACTTTCTCTCTCCCTCTTCTTTAATCATAACTCTATTTATAGTTATCAATATATTTTATTTTTATAACTTTCATTTAATGTATTTTATAATCACATCCTTATCTTTTCTTTAAAAATAAGGAATATTATCCATTTCTTTTCAATTATATCTATTTCTCTCTCTCTCTCTCTCTCTCATATATATATATATATATATATTAATTCTATTTTTTAAAAATATTTTTAATAAATTGGTTTTTTATTATACAAATATTTAAATTATCCAAAATATTATAATTTAATACATTGTATTTGAAAAATTTACATGATAAATTTTGAGTTGTTACATTTCTCCCATACTTATAGAAATTTTATCTTTGAATTTTTTATTAACTAAAATAGATGAGGATAACTTTTTCTTATTTTCTTTTCTATTTCCCACATAACCTTCACTTGTGGAATTTGCCTACCTCTCAACTGCTTATCTTCTTGTTGGCAATTTATATAGGAATTATTTCAAATGTAATGTTATCATTTAATCGTAATGTATCCGACATTATTATTTGAGAACGATCAGAAATATCTTTTT